CATCGGCCAACATTGCTTCCCCGTCATCATCGCTGACCGGCCCTTCCTCCTCGAAGAGGGAATCTACAGCAGAGTCGGTAGTAGGGCGTACCACATACCACTTATCCTTGAACCCCCTCACAGAGTCCATGTACATCCTAAACAGTCTCCTCGACTGCTTCAGGGACACCCAGCTGTGCTTCCCTCCTCGGGACTGACGTTGTAGGTGGAATACCCTAAAGAAGAGAGGGATGGTCGCCCCTATCCTTAAGTAGCGACACGTCAGCTCAAACGCCCGGATGAAGGCGAGAGAGTTTGGGTGTAGCTGGGACGGGGCCAGCTCCAAATGCGTAAAGACCCCGGTCTCAAAGTCTGTGAACGGCAGCCGCAGCCCCAAATCTTTAAACGCGATCTCGTACATCGCAAAGCTGTAGTCCGGGTACATCGAACAAATTCTGGCGTTGGTCGACGGCAGCATGACCTCGAAATTCGGCTGAAAGTCGGGCTGGTCCTGCCCCTCTTCGATAGCGGTGAATGGATGTCGGTCATCCCGACTGTATATCGACGCCGTCCCCCGAGGCTCGGCGCCCACCCATTCCAACGATGGGTCGGTCACGGTGTCTATAAGGTTGGCCGACTCGTCGGCACTCTGTTCTTCGCTGTCACGAAGACCGGAGGAGCTCGGCTCATCCGCCATGGTTACCTGCAGAGCACGGGAAACCAATCAGATTGAGCATGAAGTCCTATGCTCGACATAATCATGTCGTCCATACACTACCACACAAGTCCATTTTCACAAGTGGATGCCTCCCCGACTCTCCTGAATCCAGTGTTCTTCCACAAACCAACTGCGCGGCCACTCTTCAAGCATGTCGATCCGAGGTATGAACATGGCGGGCCGCATTGTGAAGCCCACGGCCACAACCATAAACATACCGGGCACCGTCATGAATCAGGCGCCCAGGATCATGAAGACCCCGGGCAGCTCTGAAGTTTTTCACCTAAAACTACGAATGTGTCGGCCACAAGTATGCGTTTGCCGGCCCTAGACATGAATCTGTCGGGCAAAACACGAGTTTACCGGGCTAACCCCACATTAACGGTCCTAAAACATCTACAATTTCCAAGAATCATGCATTCTAAAACAGGAAAATAAAGAAAATGGATCACTTACTTGGATCAAAGTTAGGATTTGGATAAGAAATGAAGAATCTGAGACGGGAAGTCACGATTGGAGAGAGTGTTGAGAGTTGCAACGAAGAGAGCACGGAGAACGGAAAACGTATTATGGGGCCCAAGGACCCTATTTATAGTGATGACGTGGAATACCAAACGTCACCTCGTTCAGCCACGGACTCCATCTCCTCGACGCACTGCACCCAACGCAATGATGGCCCTACCCCCCTAGGGTGGCGGCACAACTCCCGAAAGATGCCTCGTGTGCTCGACTGACGCGCCCGGTACGGATCCTCCACGCATCCACCACCGACGACGTCTCCGAGCACGGCACGAGGAGACCCCGCGAGGGTCCACGCCTCCATCCCGGGCACGAGACCTCAGCGACGGAACAACTGTTTCAAGTCATGGCTCCTCGCAAAGGAACCACGACTTGGGGGGCTCCTGTTCTGGACTGGGCCCGACAGGCCCAAAAGCATTACTAAGGCCCAGTCCAAAGGGACTCACTAAGGACCACACTGGGCAAAGGGGGTCACGTCCATGCCCGACACCCTGATGTCCACCTCGACATCTCGGTGTCTAGCCCCACGATGAAGTCCCACTCGACAGCATGCCGTCCAGCTCTATGTCCTGGCTTCCAGCTCGACACCCGCCGTCCAGCTCGAGGTCTTGGCGTCGAGCTCGGCACCGTGCTGCGCAGCTCGACATGGTCTCGAGCTAACTTGCTAGGGCAGACTTAGTCCTCCATTGCCCCAACGATACTCCGGAAAGACCGCGTCTCCGTCCGCCCGCACTTCATGCAGCATATCCAGGAAGGGGACCACGTGCTGGTCCCCACTACCCACGTAGAACCTGGCAGTTCCTCCATTGGGCCAAATCCGCCCGGCCCAATGAAGGAACCTTGGCCCAGCGCTGGGGGCTATAAATACCCTCTGCTTCCAGAGGGTCAGGTATTCATCATTCTAACCTCAACTCTATTATCTGCTCGTACTCCCACTGACTTTAGCATCGGAGTGCCTTGCAGGTACCCCCCCCCTCCTCGTTCAAAAAGCCTTCAGCTCGGAGTAAGCCGTGACGGTCCAAACCTTCTGATCAGGTCAGATCAAAAATATTTGATGATTCATTTATTTTCCTAAAATATTGACTTTTGAGATAGAATTTTCAAAACATATTACTCATTTCAAATTTACTTTAAACTAAAATAAAAATCATCAAAATTCAAGGGAGAAAACATGTAGAGATTTTAATGAAGGCACCACATAGACTTGATACTGGTATGACCATTAAATTGCAACTTCTCTTGGTTCCTGATACTACTATGAATTTCAACTTTTGAATACATTACATATTACTAACAAAACATATAGTGCATTAGTTGGTGAAAGAGTTTTTCCTTTCAACCTTAATTTCACTGCTGACACATTTTACTTCAGTCTCAAATAAAATCTCTATTATTTGTATTCAAAAGCCTAAAATCCAACTTAAGAATTCATACTAATAAGACAAATCACATAAAGTAAGTATAATCAGAAAATTCAATCGAACTATAACTTTTAACTTGCTGACATAATGTGAAACACAAAGTTTATCAAATTTATCAATGAAGGATTATCACTCGGCACATAGGCAAAAAATTTAAAGCATTATATCGGGTAACACTCGGCACATAGGCAGAGAATTTAAAGCATTTGTTTTCCGGAACACACTTTCTCCTTTAACAGATATCTTCTGCCCGGTCTTTTAAATAATGATGAATACTTAAATAATATAATGATCCAAAGAAGGGTGGAATTCACTATAGAGTTGCAGCCATGTGCATTTTATGTCATGAAAGAATTATCATTTATTAAGTTTAGAATTGGTTGAACACTTTCGTTAACCTCTGGTTGTGAGAGATCTCCAACAATCATTGTTGGATTAATAACAACCATGTCAATATTGTTTTCATTTACAAATTTTCACGCAGCAGCCTCAACCAAAGTATTTGAAAGCGGGTACCATAACTGATAACACAAACAAAAGTTAGCAAGAAAGCTAGTATTAGTATAAATAAAGGTTGGAATTTTAGCTTCAGTGATATCATCCAACAAAAAAACATGACTCAATTCCTAACTTTAGATAAACCACTTTGAATTCGCGTATCCCAGTTTCATGAGCTTCAAGTTTTATTCTAAATAACATTTAGGAAAAAGATACTAACCTTTGATGCCCTACAAAAATATGGATTTGAAAACCATGTTTCGTCGACTACAAATTCAGGAGCTTTTGGCCTTGGATCATGTACAACTATAACAAAAGAAGAAGTAAAGAAAACTCATTTCACAGATAGTGATTTCACACATGATTTAAGAATGCTAAGAGTTCCATTCACTGTCGGATCAATCAACTCATTCTGAAATATAGAAATAAAAAATTAACAGTGATATAGAAATCGTCAAAATCATTTGAAAGATCTGATCAAAAGTTGTAAAGAACCTTTGAAGGATCCACCCCACATGCCAAGTAAATGGATGTAGTTTACTTTTTTGTATCCTTGGGTAATTATATTCTTTAGTGCAGTAAAGAACCTTTGAAGGATTCACCCCGCATGCCAAATTATTATTAGACGGAGAAGTATGGATATATTGCATGCAGATCCACAATGAAGTAAAAAGTCTATGATACATATCCTACAAAAATTGAAATCAATGTTAATTCTTAAAAATAACAAAAATTCATGCAAATTAGAGAACAATGACGAAAGTATGCTTAATCAGCATTTTATGAAGACTCGGAAGGTGGCTTAAATTGAGTATCCAATCGTAATATGACAGTATATTGAGAATAGTATCTCACCATTGTTCTTTCATTTTTCTTTATCTTCTCAGCAATGAGCTTCTGCATATCTCTGCTATGCAAATAAATTCATTAGGAAAATATAATAGCAATAAAAATATAATTTGAAATTCAGTTTCCAAGTTCAATCATTTGGGACATTTCTAATTTAAGTTGTTTCAACTCATTAGAAGAATCAATATCCTGGCAAGGGGTAGGGGTTGCCCTAAACAAAAACAAACTCGTCGATTACTTTACCTTCTTCATCGATAAAAATTCCAAGAGACTTCCAAATGGCTACATAATTTTGTGAAACATTCGCGAAGTATTGTTGGTCTTTTAATGGAAAGATCATTGTCACCTGAAATTATATAACAAAAAAAATATAAGCCATAGCTCGAGATATCAACTCAAATCGAAATTGTTCTATAAATGATAAGCCATAACTTTCTGAGATTTATTTTTAATCTGCAATATAATAGATTTGCTGCTCATTGCATTCTGCATCTGGATTTTTCCATTATAGATTTTAACTTTGAGATATTGAGCAAGCACAACAACAATCTCGCTGTTACCCGATTGGAGGAATGCATCAAGCTCATCAACATATGACCCAAAGAGTGTACATTCAAGCTTCATACTACAATTAGAAAAAGTACGAAACCGCTAAACTCGCAAGTTATACATAAATGACACATAAAAATATATAAGTTTTATGACATTTAAAAATAGCTTACCCATTAGACTGCAATTAAATGACCTTAAACTTAGTAGTTACACCATTCCTTTCATATACCCTTTCACGTCCAACATCAGACAAAATAGCCACAACATCTATTACATAAATAGGACATAACACATTACCATCTTATTGATCAAAAACAAAAATTTCAGATAATAAAAATTGAAAACTCAGAATACATGTTTCTAAGAAAATGGAAGTTTTAAAGTAAATGATACTTACCAATCAAGTAGTCCATGTCAATTTTCCCAACTATCTCTGGGAAAGATACAAATGAGTAAACATGTTATCAGTCAGCACCAACTTCTGTAACCACATTGGGATTCTGCAAATTCAACTTGAACTGGTGTTTTATGGTCCTATACGCTCCAGTATTAGCAGCCACACCAAAATATTTAAAATTATAAACAATACCCTCACAAATCTTATTATCAAACCGAGACAGCAAATTTTTTTTAACAGAAGCCTGAATGTTGTCACCCTGTCCATTAGAAATGATGAAAGATTAGAATAAATTCATAGAAAATAATATGCAAAGTATTTAAAAGCGAAGCAACATCAACAACCTTTTCACCCATTAGAACCATTTCCATCACATAATATTTTTGCTTCGAATTCATGTTTGACACAAACCATAAGCGAATAACTTGAACAACAACATCCCAGGATTCCTTTGCAGGAGTGATTTCAGTAACGTAGTTGCATCTTACAGCGGCCATTGCAGAATTTTGAAATACCAAAGAGAAGGATTCGATGGATATGAAAAATTGGAGAAGAATTAGGTTACATTTATACATGGGAAAAGTTAACAGGAAATACCTAAAATTGAAAGCAATAACCTTCAAAATCCAAGAATCGACGTTGTCGATGCACTCATTAGGTATTGGGAGATAAATTTTTTTCATTAAAGGGATGACATCATTAAAGCAGTAGAAGATGAACATTATTACCTTGTTATATGTAGAGAAGTATTGCTTGAAACCTTTGAGAAACCTACATTGATTACTGGTTTCCATCGATAAAGAAAAATAATGTGGAGAGTGAATAAGGCGGCTATTATTATGGGAAAGGGTATATGAAAGGTTACAGATTGTAGAAACCAACGAAATCAATTGTCGTTTGGAAGAATGAAGCAATAAAATTATTAATTTAAATAGAAATAAAAAAACACTTATAGTAAGAATTCCTAAAGTATAAATAATATAAATAGTAACCTGTCTAAGAAATTGACACTTGTCAAAATTGCCCAAATTCTCATATTGCTTTATTCTATTTTATGATATTCTATATAAAGACTGAAGCTATGTTGAACATAAACAATGTGAGACTTGGTTACAACTATTTTTTCCTGCATCTTACTCATTACATCTTGCTTCTAACCAATAGTTACATATCCAAGAGCTAAATTACACAAATTTACATTCTTCCATTAAACCTCCTTCACGTCTCTGCAAATTCATACCAGGAATACAATTATCCTTTTAAACCACCTCAAGTGAAGTTAGACACCATGTGCTTTCATCTAAATGTTGACCAATTTGGAAACATATGTCTCGACATCCTTTAGGTACTCGTGAAATTGGGGAACAAAAGAGCATACACTAGAACCAAAATTTCTATTATCTGTGTTTAGTGCGTAGGATTTTCAAATGATTTGTACTACGGCTTCCTAGAATTGGCATATTTGGATGAAATGTTAATTTCTTTCATACGTGTTTTTATAGGACAAGTGGTCTTCAACATATGATTGTAGAACTATTCTTTTGTCTATTTAAAGTCTATTGGAAGGTTTGTTCTTCATTTAATTTGAGTTTTGCAGTCATCTTTATGTGTTTGTCTGATCAATTATTTTTGATCAATAGAGCCTAATCTGGAGAGTCCTCTAAATAGCTATGTTGTAGAGCTTTGGAATGATAAGGAAGGTTAGAATTTTTTTCTATTGTAAAGCACATGTGTTTTATGAGTTACTAGTTATTTAAACCTTAAACTATTTGTGATTATTGCTCAGTTGCTTTGAAGTTTTACTTCATTTGATACCTAGTTTAATTTTCAAATACTTTATTCCTAGAGGACTGTAGAGCCTGTATTGTCTCATCTACTTTCCTATTTAACATATGTAGTGCTCTAGTAGATTGGAGATTTTATACTTTGTAGATTTTTTATGGAGTGTTTTTTAATGGGTTAAATATACAAACCCCCTATAATGTAATATTAGCGAGTTTTGTTTTTAGCTCCTGGTAATTTTTTTTTAAAAAAATCCCCTTATCTTATTTAGATTCTTTTAGTATGCCCCCAAATGACACATATCTTCAAAGATTCCCTTCAAATACCTATGTGGCAGGGTCTAGGTGGATTTATTTATTTATTTATTTAATTAGTGACATGGCATTTGTTACTTTAGCTTTCATATGAAAACATAGAAATTATCTCAAAAAATTATTTCTCAACTGGGATTCAAACCTAGGAATCAATGCATATGGAAACATCTCATTACCACTTGGCCAACTGCTTCTGTTTGTTAACTTCTCTCTAACAAAAACAAATATCTCTTAAACAAAATCAAACATATTCATCATCTTCCCCAACAAAATCAATTCCAAGAACAATAATTTCTCCAACCTGCAAACACAACAACCTTTGCTTCTGCAGCATATGAAATCAACAACATCAACATCAAATAACAACAAAATTGAATCAAAGTTATGTACAAGGTTAAACAAACTAAAAGATAAATTTACTCATGAACATTTTGGTGCTCGAATTTGAGAGGAAAGAATAAAATTAGGGTTTATAAAATTGGGGATTCTTTGCTTTATGTTTAAAAACTGAGCTGAATAATGAAGCTTTGTTTTAATGTCACCTGATGCAACTTTGTCTTTGAGTTTTATCATCAAGTTACTTGAAGGAGCAAGAATAATGAAGAGTTCCTTTTTTCTTTGTATAGGAAAGAAATAGGAAAGTTGTAATTTGTTTTATTTTTGTATTTGAACATGTATGACTTTGTCACTTCTTTGGAATAAAACATGAAGTCTTGTAATCTTTTCATTTGGTAATACAATTAATAAATCTTTAGACCACTTGGAACAAGTATGAAACTTTATAGTCATTTAAGATCTATTAATGTCAAATGGAAACTTTTCATCTTTGAATTTTGATTCCAAATAGATATGGCTACTTGCCTGAAGAATATGATTTGGTTTCTTGAATTTCAAGCAATCACAAAGTTATCAAATAAACCATGCGCCTTGTACTCCAATAAAATTCTTAAACAAAAAAAATGTCTAAGAATCCAAATCCAAATTGGTTAACTCAAACCCAAAGCCATGGTCATCCAAATGACAGTCCTAATTTTCACCTCTTGTCCAATTCAAATTGGTAATCAAAATGAGTTCGCACGCCATGCTTGATTAAAATGGGACTTCATTGTCTAACAAACATGTTTTAAGAACATTCGTCATTCTTGTAGAATTAACAAACTTCAGCAAATTATGGTTAAGAACATTCAAAATCAAACAAATGACTTGCAACGATTCGATAACTTTCAAAGTCTTCCAAACATAATTTTCTTTTGATCTTTGAAGATAAACTCGTGAGCGATATCACTTATGACCATATGCAGAAATAATCGTCTCAAGATCTTGTAATTTGAGGAAATCATAATTCTTAGAAATCAGACAATAATTACTTAAAATTAGGTCAAAGTCCATGATACGACTTCTAACATATTCGAATTTTGGCGATCTTCTACACGTTATCAGCTCTTGATTCGTGAAGATAAAATGGATGTGACATCAAGGAGAGTTATACGCAAAAAGAACCACTCAAAAATATTGAATAATGAAGAAGTTACAATCGTTTGAATTTGCTCTTGCAAAAGGTCAATTTTTGGGTCAATGTAATCGTTTTCAGTTATCTGAAAAAACGAATGAGAAAACTTGCAATGTAAAGTTTAAAAACTGGCATAAACATCCTTGAAGAGATAGGAAGACCTATGAAGACCATTTGAAACCTTGAAAACTCAATTTTCTCTAAGAAATACCAAACCCTAATTGTTGATTTTCCGCCTAGGAAGAGAATCTGTCTGATCAACCTTTGAGCCAAATTGAGTATACGAGAAACCCTTTGATCATGTATCTAACTGTTTTGGAAAATTCAATGGGGTGTATGATGGGGCAGCATGACGAGTCTGGCCAAAAAGAGCATGCTATTTATTACCTGAGCAAAAAGTTTATCGACTGTGAAACAAGATATTCACTGCTTGAGAAAACTTGTTACGCTCTGGCATGGGCTTCTCGCCGGCTAAGACATTATGTGTTGACCCATACTGCCTTATTGATATCTAAAATGGATCCAATAAAGTACATCTTCGAGAAGCCTTCCCTCTCTGGGAGAATAGCAAGATGGCAGATGATCCTGACGTGACATACAGTATACTACCCAGAAAGAAATAAAGGGCAGTGTACTAGCTGATCACCTTTCTCATCAAGCTGTGGATGACTACCAGTCCATGAAGTTCGAATTCCCAGATGAAGACATCATGATGGTAAACAACTGTGAAAAATTCAGATCATATGACGGATCTGAACAAGGATCCCAATGGACCCTGGTTTTTGATGGGGCGTCCAACACACTCGACAATGGTATTGGTGTTGTACTTATATCCCCTGAAGGATGTCATACTCCCTTTACTGCAAGACTCTACTTCAACTGTACAAACAACATGGCAGAATACGAAGCATGCATTTTTGGTCTCAAAGCTGCCATAGATTTTGGAATCAAATCTGTTAGAACAAATTTTGAATCTACTACCCTATGTTTAAGTTTTGATGATAACAAAGTGAAAAGATATATTATTTATATGATTCATGTATGAACTATCTGCTGCCTAAATTATTACGTTCTGATTTGCAGATACTCTGATTGGTATAAGCAAGATCACACCTAATCAGCATCAGAAATTTGGTTCCTGACATCAGCATCAGAAGTTGCCATATCAGAATGTCAGAATCAGAAGATTAACTCACGTGTATGCTGAAGTCTGATGAACAAGAACTGCGCTCAACACTCTGATAAAGAAACACAACAGTTCATCAGCAGCTAAGCAGAATCAGAATGAGCCAAGCCAGAACTTGCATTAAGTAAGCAACGGTACTGTGCATTGAAAGCAAATTAATACCAACGGCCTCATTCCAGACAAGATCTGCTCGATAAGGAAAGTTTGTTATTAGCATTGAATCAAGAATATTGCTCCAACGTTCATAATCTCAGTGCTATATAAACAAGACTACGAAGATTGAATTGGCTAATGCTCTCCAAATCTTTACACGCCTAAAAGCTGATCATAATCTTCCTTATCTCAGTTTGCTAAACACTACACATTCCCTTATTCAATTATTGTTTAGCAATCTAGTTTCTAAGCTTAAAGTTGTGTATACATCACAGTTGTGATACAGTTTTGCAGAAAACATTCACACACTTAGATTTATCTTCTTTGTAAGAAAGTGTTTCCTTGACAAACCGGGTTGTGGTTTGCATCAAGAAGGCTTTAGCAGTTGTTAAAGCAGTCTGTAATATTCAGTTGAATATAGTGGATTAAGACCTCGTTGGAGAGAGGCGAAATCACCTTGACGGGTGGACTGGAGTAGTTTGAGATCAAACGAACCAGGATAAAAATATCTTGTTCATTGCATTGATTTTCAGTTTTACAATTCAACCCCCC